TCCGGAAAGCTAGTGTCTGCCAAATTTGTACCGGCCCCTTGAATGGCTATTATCCTGGGGGTGAATTGAAATTCTGCAGGTTGGCGGTCTATGTACCCAAAGGTGGGAAGCTGGACGGTAACAACCCTCTGCGTCGGAGCTTCTTGAGCTCCAGCTTCGTATAGAGCTATGGGACGGAAGTAGCTGATATGGATGGAGGCAACGGCCAAAGTATAACAGGAAGGACGAGGGCATAAAGGGCAAAATACGAAAGACCCTTCTAGATACAGATCTTAAAATACGCAAACGTATGTGTGTATCCGTGTGAAAAACTTAGACACTGAATGATAAAGGAATATTTAGGCTAACCAGTTGTAAAAGTATGGTTGTGCTACCATTGCTCAACGCCTGGCCAACCTAGTGTAAATCAATGTGCCGCAATGCCGAACTGATGAGTGCCTTATCCGCGTGTAAGTACTGATAACAAAGGACAAAAGGAACTATGTGGTAAAAAGTGCTCAGACAGACAGTTAACTTATCAGTCAAAGGTAAAGAGGTTACATTAAGGGAATAATATTAGCTTGTCTGGCATAGCTAGGAATTCTTAAATAGTCGCTGCCCACCAGCCCAAAGAATACGCAGAAATGGTCATCGTCAACGACGGAATGCATACACACCAACATATATGGGACTAAAGCTACCTAACGATGCTGTAAGTGATCATTTAGTTATCCTTAGGGTACTTTTCTTTTTTATTCATCTTAAACTTAGCCTTATTTCGGTACCAAGACGGTGCACTACAGACCTATCTGTAGGCAGCGGGCACAAGCCACTATCGGCTGATTGGTATTGTGATCAGAAGGTTTCCTTCCGTTGAAATACTGAGTAATTCTTCTATTTTTCCGCATGCAAGTCGGCTAACTTCACGGTGACACGCCCCAGAAGTAATCACCTGTCCTTAAAAGTGATTAGCTGGTTCTGTGTTGACTTGCCAGATTTCTGAGACGATGCTGAAGATTTTTCGGGGCGTCGTAAATCCACATCAGTCTTGTTCCAGCTTTAAAAGGTCGCAGTTTCAAGAGGTTTTGAGGCACTTTGCACGTAGCTCTTTCTGTGGTTACCCCAATGAGTAAGTCGAATTTGATGACAACGTTTCCAAATACATGCAGCTCACCCTGTGGTAGCGCGAATATTTATGAGAGCAGCGGTGTTGTCGCTGCAGATACTTGGTTTAAACGGCTCAAATGAATGCTGACCGAAAGGAAGCTTTCTCCTAACTGGCTTCCGAGTCTAAAATCTGTGAATCACAACTTCTTGTGTTTGTTAACCAGTGTACAGAGGAAAAAGTAGCGGTTAACATGTGAAAATTCAATTGGTTCTGGCAGATCCCAGCCACATGTCAAGTAAATATCCACTTGGGGTCGAAGGATTCATCTGAAGTAGCCTGGATCTCGTCTGTAGGAAGAGAGTTCCAGGGTTTAACGACTCTTAGGAAATAGAAGTTGTGCTTGGTATCTAACCTGCCATATTCCAGGGTTAGTTTCTGTGTGTCCTCTAGGATTAGTGCTACAGCTAGGATTTAATAGGTGATGGAGTGGGTGACTAGGAGTGCTCAGAATATTGTGTCATTATCAAGTCTACTCTTAGCCTCCTGAATTCTAGACGATACGGATTCGGCGCAGCTAGTCTTCCTCCTTATGTTTTCGACCCAAGTCCTCTAGCAGATTTTGTCGAAGGCCTCTGGATGCGTTCAAAGCTTAGTTTGTCCTCCTGAAGAGGGGGGGGGGAAACGATTGTCCCGAACCCCAGGTGAGGTCGTATGAAGTTGTTGAAAATTTGATGGAAGCACCTACAATCGAGGTGCCCAGAAATTTGACTGAGAGTTACTAGGGGGAAGTTTTCGCTTAGTGCATTTCTACCACAGTTGGCATAGGGCTTGTAGTCTTCAGGGACTTGGACACCCAAATCCATTTCCGTCAGTGAAACTTCAAGCCCCATCCCGTTGAGGCTTTACACATGACATGCACCGTGTTTTACATATGTCCCCTTGTATTTTTCAGGATCAAATGCGAGCCCATTATTGGCTGCCCAGTTGTGAAGTTGAGTTATATTTTCCTGTAGAGGAACACTGTCTTCCTCATTTCTCGTTCCTCTCCACAGTTTCACGTCGTCGGCAAAACGAAGGATTTCGGAAGAAGCATGTTGAGGCAAGTTGTTTATGCATGTTAGAAAAAGAAGAAGCCCTAGTACTGAATCTTGGGGAACACCACCAGAGTATTCTGTCTCCTTAGATATAGAGAAGCCCACTTGAACTCTAAATGAACGGCCTCGTGGATATCAAGACAACCATCCAATGAGCGGTGGTCAAACCCCGACTGATTCCAGTTTATCAATAAGGCGGTCGCGATTCACACGATCAAACCCCTTGGCAAAGTCTAGGTAGATAGTGTCAATCTGTCCTCGATGGTCAACAGTGTTGGTCTATTTATCCACTGCAGTCAGCAGGTTGGTAATGCAGGAGTACCCTTTATGAAATCCATGTTGTTGAGGCGCAAAGAAGTTTGTCTTTGTGGGGAAATCCGTCGGTCCGCTGTAGATTAGTGATTCTATAACTATAGAAGCAATGGGTAGGGGTGTCACCGGTCGATACTCCTTTGTATTGCTTCGTTGTCCCCCCCCTGTGGAAGATTGGCGTCGTGTGGCCCAGCTTCCGAGGGTTGGGTACCATCGCCTGACTCAGAGAATTCCTCAATAATCCACTCAAATATTCGGACAAGATTGAAGCTTCTTCCCAAAGTACCACCGGATGGATTTTATCTGGTCTTGGGGAGGTGTACTTGGTGAGCGGTAGCAGTTTGCGCTGTACTAGCTCAACGCTTACGTCGACGACCGGGAGTCCTACTTCGATAGTGAGATTTTCGTGAGCCCTTGAGTAGGTGGACGATGACGAAAGGATTTGCAGATACTGGTCGTCCAGAAGCTTAGCTGCTTTGGTGTCGCTATTGGCCAGTTCGTTCGCACCTAGTAATCGGGAAACTCCCTCTTTGGCCTGCCGGAACGAAGCAGCTTGGCGGAACAGACTTCTGGGGTTAGAAAGGAACATGTTTGTGAGCCTAACTTGATGCCGCTGCCGATTGGCTCCCAATACCTTCGTACATATGTCCTGACTGTTTGAACTTTCCATTAGCATTTTCGGTACCAATCCCTTTGTGTTCAGGCCAGTGGTGTTTCTTCAACCTGAGTGGTTTGCGAGTGTAGTTCCTCATTACTTTAAGCGACTTGAAGCACTTTGGTCTGGAAATAGGAACATGCTGACTGAATGCATACACAATCTTGTCAAGCTTGTATCTGTAAAGGGTTTTTATTTCCTGCTATACATGGTTAACTTTCCGATCTATCTGTTCCGGTGCGATTAGAAAAGCAGGAGTGTTAAGCCGACATTCATTGAAGGGTCTGGTTAGATTGGTTTCACAGACAAACTGGGAGCCGATAACAAAGTGGTCAGTCATGCTCAAGGGAGAAAAGATTGTTAAGTTGTCGACCAGGAACTCTTCATTTGTGATGATGCGGTCTAAGTTGGTTGGGGTTTGAGTCTTCCCCGGTCACATGTTCTTGCCCATATCTTCCGTAAGCCCCAGCTCCCCAATTGGATGGAAGAGTCAGGCTTCAGCGGAATCGCCGCTCCCCTTAAACGTGTGATATGCGGAGTTAACTTAGGGTACTGTAAGAACCTGTTGGCAGTTTGAAAGGGAAGTTTAACTGATCTTTCTGTGCACTTGTCTTGACCGTTTTTTCATTAACACCTAACATTGGGGCGACGAGACTATGCGGCTGAAATTCTAAAAGTCTAAACCCCCCACCTTGCACAGTAATGACTTCAGCCTTTGGAGTAAACACAAAAATCATATTACAGTCTGTGAGTAGACTGGACGTCATTTATTCTGCTTGCTGGTAATTCCATCTCTAAGTCTTTGTGCCATCCGTACCACACGTTTCACTCGTGAGTTAAAGGCCATTTTTCACTCTTACCTGCCTATATTACGATGTCGCCACAGCCCAACCGCCAGTTATAAATAGTTGGACTGGTGGAAAACTTATAGGCGAACCAATACCCAGCTTTGTGCGTCTTATAGATTGAGTCCACGCATACCGCCTCTGGAAACGACCAGTAGATCCTGCATCCTGCAAACCAACGGTGGTGTTATATGCCTGACAGTTGAGAAGACCCCCTTTCGTCCATATGAAATACTGTGATGGAACCGTTCTTTCAGAACGGACCACCTGTATCCATTTGGCTCGCAGATACAACACACCTGGAGTGTGTATACTACTTAAAACACAATTACAAACGCATGCTACACCGTTTGCATTATTTGCAAGGATGACTTGACTTTTTTCCAACTGGCGAATAGCCGGGATAACATTATATCCTTGAATATACGCCCTACACCAACAGAAACAAATAAACAAGCCTTCAACAGAAAACTATCAGATATTGGGAGAAAATAGTACTCATGTAGAGCTGTGACGAGCAACGAAGCGTGACTATGAAGGCTACCTTCGTAACAACTGAAATAGCTAATTAGAATTCTTTAGTTTGTGAAAACTTGCCTTTCTAATGGAAATCCAGAAGCCGAATTGGTTAGTTCACTTTTGCTAGGCCGGCCTTTGAAATGATTGTCAACGATGGGATCCGCCAAAGGCAAATGCCCTAAGCTTCCTAGGTAGCGCACTAGTGGGGTTGGTAACGACCAGTTGTTGATAAGTTTTCGTCTGGCTTGTAGATAGGCACGTTGTTACAGAGGGCGCGCATAGCAGTGTCAGTCTGATGGTGACCATGAGAATCTAGAAAAGAAAAAGGAAGAGAAGAAAGGTGAGCCAACGACTCAGCAAGTACATAGGATGTACTTACATTTAATAATAAAAGATAACTGACAAACGGCAGAGTTGGACAACGAAGGGGTGAGGCGAAACTCTAGGGTGAATGAGTAAGATTTTGAATGCGCTTCAGTTTCCCTGAATTAACCTTCAAGTGCGCGGCACCTCCGTAATATGAAGCTAACCCCCTAATCTATAGCCTTTGGTAACATTGTTAAGTGATAATCGGTGATCAGCAGTGACATTAAAACAGTTTGTAAGTGTAATAGTCTTCATACTTTAAATAGCTGCATAATGAGGTATTATGCACAGATAGCTTTGAATTTGTAGTCTGATATATATTTCATTTCAATTTTTTCAACTCATTCTACAGATGTTTTAAAAGTATTTTCAGTGCTTTGTTATTTTTCATCAAATATATGATCCTTTTCCGTATACGGGACCTACAATTTTTCATCTTTTTTGGTCAAAAAATTTCACTTAGGTGCTCAGTTCCATGAGCATTCAGTGCGCTGAATATGATTGCGTATCTACCAAGCACATGTTTGTAGAGGATTTTAAAAAAGCAAACGATATCTTGGATACTGCAAGATCTTGTAGTAAATTTTACCAAATTGCCTATACAAGATAACGTGAGGAAACGTTTATAAACTATGGTTTCGGGAGACCAAAGATTATTCAGAGGGAAATTAGGGTTAGAAGGCTTCAATTTACCGGGATATTCTGGTTAATTTAGCATCATTGTGTAGAACTTTTGGGGGGAATTCTGGAGAAGGAGAATGGAGACTAGTTGTGGCATATAGGGAAACTTTTCCCAGTTATCTTACAGTAATTTTTCCCACTTCTCTTCGACTGAGCTGAATAAACAATTGACTAGGGAGCATGAGAAGCCTTTACTCACAAAAGCATATAGGCCTTTATCGTAACTATGCATTGACATCGATACTTACCGTATACTTCATCATTTTATGTCACTATTGAAGGATGTAAATAATTATGAATACGTTCCTTTAGTGGTTTTTTTCTGACTCAACAGTACATAATAATGGTTCGTCCTCTATATGTTGAAGTTTGAACGTCGAATTCATCTTAGTTCCATGTTTCTTATTAAATGCTCATTCATCCGGTCGATCAATCATTGTTTCCGGACTATTTCTAAGATAATATTTTACTTGATTTGCGCTTGATAATTACTATCAAATACTTTCGGCATAATGATCGGCGTGACTAAAAATGTTTCTGCAGTATCTATTTGGTTTTATTTTCTGTGCGATATTTTATTGTTATGGAGGGGGACAAAATGAAAGTAACTGGTGAGAGGTGTTCATTTCCAAGTAGTTATTTCTTGTAGCTTATTACCGACTTGTTGGTGTTCTAACTGGTCTACTTCAGTTTGCAATCTGCTTGCTGTCTCGTTAAATGTCAGCCAGTCCTTATTTCCCCACGATACCACTTCTGATGTTTGTTTGAGTATTCGGATGCCGTATAGTTACATAAGTTTTGTTTCTGATCCTACAAATTCCTCTGCTAGGTTCATCAGTCTTTGCTAACATTAGTCATCAGATATGGGTAGTAAGAATGTCCTGCCGCGGCTAGCATTTATTTCACTTTGGAAAGTTGGGCAAAACGCTAAACAAAAACATGGGTTGCAGCTAAATGTGTTCAATGTCTTCGCCAAAGCCCATGATTTCCCCTTAAAATGTTTGGAAGATCTTAAGAGTGCGCGCAAATTTTATGAAAAATCACTTTGCCTCCATTTTCAAATGCGTATTTTGGGATATTTTTCGATGTAGCATTGATTTTGCTATTAGGATGCGTTTGAATACTTAGTAACCATTGAAATATGAAGTTTAACAGAAAATAACTGAAAAACTCCAAGAACTCTCCGGAAGTTTGTAAGTGCTCCTGAATTCCCCAAAGTGTTTTGAAACTTTATGCTAATTGGAAAGTGATATCCACTAAGTTTACTAAAGCGTGTGAATTATTTAAGTCACTGCTTCATAATCCTTATATTTTATTTAAAACTTTGCAGAACCTTTATTAACCAACATGAACAAAGAGCAACTTACATACACCCCCAACTATTGGTTTGTGTCCAAGTTTTTATTATTTTTGTCGGCTAAGTGAGGAGAATGTGTACAAACTCTTAGAATACATGGAGGAATCCTACTCAGCAAATAGCGCGTATGTTGTATTTGTGTCCAACTTAAACAGATCTGTAAGTTGCCAGCAGCTTTCGCACCAACAATTAGGTTGGCCTGTTCTCACAAGTGAAAGGAGATCCGCAGATGGACTATTTCATAGTATGGGTATGTACTGGTATCAGATTATAACCCTTTAAGGATTATCATGTGTTTCTTATTCTTGGAAGCGTGTCTAAATATGTCGTATATGATTTTGATTCGCTACTACCCTTCCCTACCCCATTTGTTCAGTATTTTACCCATGGATTACGGTGGAATAGCTGTCTACCAGAAAGACTGCACAGGTCAGTTGTTTTTAATTAATCTACTATGAGGTCGATTATGTAAAAAATTCTTTTCAACAGATTGTCTCTGAATTTGATTTGCATATGCTGTTTTTAGTATAGCCTTACTTTTTAGACTCACGAAACTTACAGTAGCTGTATTTCTATTTTCTTTATCAGTCTTCAGTAATATGGATATTGGACTAATGTGGGAAGTGTTAATGCTTGCAGTAATTTTCCTTTTTGAGATCTAGTTCATGCCTAAATACGTTCACCGAAGGAGCTAGTACCAATTAATCAGGTAAGGAGTTCCAGTCATTGACCACTATGTGAGAAGTGTGGGAAGTCAGTTCGACTGTGGTTTTTGAATTTTCTTATGGTGGCCTCAGAGATAATCGACCATTGAGGGAGTTAAAAAGTAGGACATCAATCCCGTGATCATTGTTTAGTATACTGAGTGCTAGTTTGAGGTCACCCCTTTTGCCTACGGTAAGATGATAGGAACAGTTTCAGTCATTTTGTAAGTGCATGTAGGCGGGGATTAAATAAACCAGCCACCATCTTAGTGTTGACTCCCAATGCCTTAGTGTCTTTCATGAAGCAAGGAATGACCACTTGAATCCACTTTTCGAGATGGCGTCGCTCAAATATGGTTACAGTATCCCGAATATTCCCTCATCAAAGTATTTGAAAGCTACATGAAGAGACCGAAGCACCGGAAACCTTTTTCCTATAAATTCATTACAATGTGCAGACATCTCACAGCTGTGTCTGACAGTCACTCCCAAATCTCCAATTTCTTGAACGTCAGATTCTGTTATCCAATCTGTTATGTACTGGTAACGACCAATTAGATAGCTTTTTTTATTTATTATTATTATTTGTCCCTTGGGTTCCTAATGGGACATAGGGCTTCACTAGCACGTCTCCAGTGCACTCTGTTATCTGAAATTTTTTGAGCCTGGTTCCACGACAGCCCAGAAGCTTTCATTTCTTCCTCACACGATCTCCTCCATGTCACCCTCACCTCGGACACCCAACTCGTCGTTTCCCACCCGGGTTCTACTCGAGGGCCTGACGCGTGATGTCCCCAGTCAGCCTTCTCAGTGTATGCCTAATCCATCTCGACTTCCTTCTGCATATTTGTTGGGTGATAGGTTTTTGGTTGGTTCGTTGACAGGCCAGAGTTCCTTGTTGCTTATTCTTTCTGGCAATCCATCTGATCTTCAGTAACGAGCCAGCGTAGGCAGTTGTTGATGAATGTCTGTAGTTTGTTGGAAATCCCTTTCGTAACGCGCCAAGTCTCTGAGCCATACAGAAGCACTGACTTGAAAATCCAGACCTTGTTCCACGTGCTGAGTGCAGAAGATTTCCACACTGGTTTCGAGCTAATGAAAGCCTGTCTTGCTTTTCCGATCCTGACTTTGACATCCTCGTCTGTGTTGCTGCCTGTAGTTGAAACAGTGCTTACTAGATAAGTGAAGGAGGCTACTTCCTTTAGGTTTTTCCCGTTGATGGTGATTGGAGCTTTCTGTTGTTGTTGGTGGGTATCTTCATCACCTCTGTCTTCTCTATATTCACTTGAAGTCCTGTCTTCACTGCCTCACCTCTTCTGTCAACTTGTTAGTTTTCGCCTGTAGATCTTCAAGTTTGTGTGACATCAGACACAAGTCATCGGCAAAATCCAAATCTTCTAGGTTCTTTTCCGCGGTCCAGCGTATCCCCCTCTTCTCACTCCTCACTGTTTGTTGCATGTTCCAGTCCACTACAATCAGGAATATCATGGGTGATAGTAGGTAGCCTTATTTTACTCCTGTCTTCACTTCAAAAGCATCGCTAAGCTTCCCATTGTGAATTACATGGCATGTGGCGTCTTCATATAGTTGTTGAATGAGGTTGATAAAGGTTTGTGGTATTCCCTAGTGCCGAAGCAACTGCCAAATTACTTCTCGGTCGACGCTGTCAAAGGCCTTCTCAAAGTCGATGAAGTTGAGGTAGAGGATTGACTGCCATTCTATGATCTGTTCTATGATGATGCCTAGCTGTGCAATTTGGTCTGCACATGATTTGTACTTCCCGAAGCCTGCCTGTTCCGGTCGTAGTTTTGAATCCAGCGCATCCTTTAGTCTCTCCAGGATGATGCGGCTTAATATTTTGCTTGCTCTGGGTGGACAGGAGCGTGATTCCGCACCAGTTCTTGCAAAGACTTAGGTCTCCCTTCTTCGGGAGTTTGACAAGGTAACCCTTCTTCCAATCACTAGCCAGGTTCCTTCCCTTCCTTCCACACCTTCTGCAGTAGTGGTGTGAGCATGTCTGCTGTTGTCTCTGCGTCTGCTCTCAGTGCTTCTGGCGGGATTCCATCTAGTTCTGTTGCTTTCCCGCATTTCGGCAGCTTTATGGCGATCAGGACTTCGATTTTTGTCGGAGGATTTGTGTTCACTTGTAGTTCTGTGTCTTCAGCTGGTAGTTCTGGACGAAGTGCAGGTGGTGGTGGTGGTCGATTCAAGAGCTTTTTGAAGTGGTCGGCCCATCGTTTCCTTTGTTTCTCTTCTTTGGTAATCAAATTTCCTTCATCATCTATTGGTTTCATGTGTGTTGATCTTCCCAGATAGTAACCTGGTTATTTGATACAATGTTGTCAGGTCTCTCCTACCAGCCGGCAGCCTGTTCTGCTTCACTTGCCAGTGTGTCATGGAAGTGTCTTTTGTCTTTGCGCGCACTCTTCTTCACTTCTTTGTCCAGTGTTTTATACATTGTGCTCAGTTCCTCTTCTCGTCGTGCATCCTTGCACTGCACTGCTTCACCATCCTCCTCTCCTCCATCAGCTTCCATGTGTCCACCGAGATCCATTCCTTGTCTTCTTTCTTCTTCCTTCCTGATACGGTTATGCAGGTTTTTTTCCACATAGCTTTCAAAGAGTTACAGTGTTCTTCCACACAGGCCTCTTAAGGGATGGTCCTCAATATCTCCCATTTTGTCTCGATGGCTGCCGTGAAGATTTCCTTTGTAGTTCCGCCCTTCAGTTTCCGAATGTTGGACTTGAACTAGATAGTGGTCTGAGCCTACATCTGCTCCTCTTCTTGACCTTGTGTCAAGTAGGCTGCGTCTCCACTTTCTTGAGATTGAGATAAAGTCGATCTGATTTTTAGTGTGTCCTGGTGTCTGGTGAAATCCATGTCGCTTTGTGGGTATCCTTGTGCTTAAACACACTGCCTCCAATCATCAAATCGTTGAATGCACGGAGTTCTGCAAACAATTCTCCATTCTCGTTCATTTTACGTAGCGCTTCTCGACCCATGGTTAGTTCTCTTCCTGTGTTGCCCGCTCCCAGTTTCGCATTCATGTCACCCATTAGAATTTTGGTATTGCCAACTGAGGTCTTGTCCAGTGTTGATTGCAGTTGTCTGCAAAATTCCTCCTTCTTCTCTTGATGTTCATTATTTGTAGGTGCATAGCGTGGCATTGTACGGTTGTGACTTTCCGCCCTTTTGAGTTGAACCTTGCTGTTATGATCCTGGAGGAGATTGGTTCCCACTGCATGAGAGCCTTCAATGCTCTTGAGGACATCATGATAGCCACTCCCTCAGTGTGCTCGTGGTTGGCGTCTGGGTGACCGGAGTAGATTATTGATTCTCCAGTTGACAGTTTGGAGAGTCCACTCCCATTCCATCTGCTTTCGCAAATTCCAAGCACTTCAGTGTGATACATTCTCATCTCTTTTGCAATCTGGGCTGCCTTACTGGGTTCAAACATGGTGCGGACATTCCATGTCCCCACGTTTACTTTCGCTTTCATCGAGAGTGAGAAGACACATCGGCCAATTGGCTTCCCGAAGGCTTTAACTAACCAGCGTCATTTCACCACCCGATTCCAGCGAGGAATAATATTGTTTTTATTTTTTATATTTTGTTTGTGCTTCGAGGTTTCTTTAGCGATTGGAATTGTTTCGCGGGGTAGGGTTGCTGGCCCTATGCCCAACCTTCTCTGTATGCCCGGGCTTAGTACCGGCTAGTAACTAATGAACTCGTTAACCAGGCATGGTTAGCTTTTTTATTTGATCGAACTAATTCCTGACATCAATGTATGAACCACTCGGATAGTTCATGTAAGTTCTCCTGCAATGCATATCTGTTTGGATCATTATGGATGATTTCCCATAATTTCACTCTATCAATAACTGATGGCACCGGAGATAGTTTTATTCATGGTTTCGGTGAAATTAATCAAGAAAAGAAGACTCAGTGTCATTCTTTGAATAATCCTACTTCTCACACGTTACCCCTTAGGTAGTGTTACGTTTGTTCTTATTCTGTCTCCCAATGCATAGAAATCCTTTAATCTAGACCTGCATTGTGGTGTCAGATCCAAAACTAAAGAGCATCATTATTCCGATGTGCGAAACTTTATCGAAAGCCTTACTGAAGTCGGTAAACATATCACCAAATAGCTTATTGATGTTGCGTTCATTGACTTCAGCATTAACAATACACGGTTAACACATCTATTAATCATAAGCCAGCACAAAAATCTAGAGGCAACCCATAACTTTTATTCGGTTTATATTCCTTTGTGCAAATGGTTGGTGTTATAAAGGTTTAATGTAGCAAGAATACACGGGTTAAAGCTCTAGACTCGCTTTTTATGTGATGGATGATACTACTTTCCTACGATGGCCTGGTAGGTAAAGTGGTGTTCGAATACGTTTCCGGGTTTCCGTCCCACGTATTGTATCAATACAAGTCTGCCAAACCGCAGCTGTCTCAGATAGTCTAGATGATAATCAAGCCAATGAGCTATATCCACACAAGGGTGAAGTTAATATATGTTAGGTATATTTCGAAATTATTGCGTAGATAGTGTGTAGTAAGTGTTTACAAAAGCTAATAGTTTGTAACTTTTATGATATTTCGAACAGAATTTGTGCCTAGTTGTGCCAATAGTTGAAGTCCTATCACCTAGACTTAAACGCCTTGTGAATATTGATAACCAAGTATTTACAATGCATCCATTCATTCTTCAATGCACAAACTTTTCATCGACATTGTTCATATTGGACAAGTTTCAGTGAGAATAATGGAAGTGTGTAGGTTATGCAAATTAATGGATATGATTTTTATTAACATATCTGACTCGTGGTATTTTGTCGTGGGCACAAATTTTCATTGTTGGGCGACTACTTAGAATGATCCAGATACAGGCAAAATCAACGTAGAGCGTTGCACATAAGTGCATCGGTTCAAGTTGCAACACTCCCCAGGAGCATGCAATGAACAAGTGGATGGAAAAAGTGATGTTAAGGTAAACAAAGCGTATAAGAGGATCAGTAATTTGATAATCAAGGTTACTGAGAATACATCGAAGAGTGAATACATCTGCGTGATTGTGACTGGTTTTCTCTCATCTCACCAAGGTTCCCCAATCATTGGTCTATTATTTTGGTAAAGCCGACCAGAACAGTCTGCACCTCACTACACAGAAAAGAAAGCCTGTCAGAGACTTCTTGGAATCATAACACGTTTTAGTGTGACCACTATGAACCTTCTTCCAACAATATCCTACTTCAGATAACATTCCAGGTCTGCATAAAGAGTGCTTAGACGTGTGCAACATGTGTCCGAGCCACCTCAGTCGGGGAATGTTCACAACTAGAGTGACTGACTTGCCTTCCTCGCCTAGTACCCTACGCCTAACCTCGATATTCCCCACACGGTGATTCCATCATACGTGAGTAATGCCACCAAAGGGTATATGGTCAGAAACCTGTAATCTCTTCAGATCTGCTTTCAACGGTCATGCCTGACAGTCATGATAAATCACCCCTTTTCTATCCGTATTCTAATATTTTGCCGTTGTTTTCCCTTTCAGATACTTTCGCGTTATCCCAGGTGTTGACTACTTAAATCACTTTTCATCAGACCGTAGTCATATGCAACGCGAGGATGGTAGCTGGGTGTCTCCACCACCCTCTTATGATCGCATACGGGGAAAAAGTTCAGTTTCACGTCATACTTTACCCTTCTACTGGGATATGAAAATTGATGCGATTGATCAGAACTCACTGTCAACCACTGATATTTATGGCTGTGTTTTAACTGAAGGTGATTTCTTCGGGAAATTTTCAGACAACTAGTTCATTGCTTCTTTTTTTCGTCCAAATATATGATGAGAGATAAAATACTTGGATTTTACCCACTGACTTTCTCGGAGAAATAGCATAAAGATACATGTATTTATGATTTTGATGCAAACTTGGTAAGCAGTGGGGAGGGATGAGTGCTCCACTTTAGAGAATATAACACTATGAAAATGTGAAGGTATAGTGTGACGAATATGAACATTTATCAGAGAAGGAAAAGCAGTCACGTAGAATGCCCTTATAAAGCTCTCGAAGCTTTTGTATTGATACTGAGAAGTGGAAGACAAGGAAACGACAGCATGGACGCCAGTCATTTTGAATTTCATTTGTGATTGAGAGTAATTCATGTCTCAAACCTCGCTTCACAGACTAACTAATTCCTTGCTACTTCCAACCACTTCCAGAAGCATGACACAACGGATGATATAGAAGCTTCTGAGTTGGTATACTCGAGACGAATCTTATCCATTGGAGCAGATGTTTCGCTATCAACCTAGTGTCGACATCTATCATGTTCAAACACCCATTACACGACCTCAGAATTATGCATAAGTAGTTAGAATGTTTTCGCAATACCACTGACTGGATGGGGTGTGACAAAACGTGTTTCCCACGGATGAATAGTGAAACCTTGCTGATGTTGCCTTTCCTGTGACGAGAGGTGGGTTAGAAAAGGTCACCTGTTTGACCACCCTCTACTATTACTAATCCAATTTGTTTTTCCGGTAACTCAGAAAGAACCAGCCTACCAGTGTGAGCAACCGAGAAGTGTCAACCACTTTTGTACATCTGTCAGTACTCAAGCTTCTTCAAATCATTATCAACCTTATAATCTTCACTCACGTCTCCTGGTCAACATTCCTACACTATCTTTAATTTTGCCCAGCGCTCGATTACCACGGAACAGCATACAAGCCTCCTAAAACCACTCTGCAGACTACAATATTCACAATATTCACATTCTCCGTCGAGTCAGCCAACAAGCTTCGTTAACCGAAACTATGGCATTGTGTGCCATGGATGTGTGCTATGCTTGTGAGACCATGGACGCAGGACCAGAGTGTGGTTATTCACTTAACCTCACTTGGTCAATATGGTGAGTTCGAAATATTTACTCTCCCAGGTTCTATAGCTTTCAGTTGTAGATACAGTATCAAGTGCTAAGACAGAAGTTGCACTGCTCGACTGGGTCCCGGTTAACAGTCATTCGAACGCCATTCGGCTGAACAGCGCAATGAGGACTAAAGAGAATATTCAAAGTCACCATTGTCCCTTTATAATATTTATTTGTACACTCATTGGCTGCAGTTCGGATGAAGTGAAGAATAAGTTTCTCCAAAAACTGCCTAACCTCATACTGAAAGCCAAAGGTTCGGACGTGGCTGTCGTAGCAGGTGGTTTCAATGCACAAGTGGGTAGGCTAAGTCAGGCAAAAAGGCACTTGGGTGGCACTTTCGGGATCCCTGCGGAACTAACAGATAACAGCAATCACCTGCTACAACTGTTCTCAAACAACTGTCTATTTCTGGCCAGCATGAAATCTAGACAAAAATAGCGACATTGGCTGATGTATCATTCATCAATCATCTCAACTCAACTGTGGATACAGACCACTCACAGGAGAGACTACTGGAAAGATAGGCAGAACACTTCAACGAACAGTTAACCTCTGTCCAGTCCGATTTGAAATGGAAGATTCAGGTTGAGTATCCGACTCTTGTCGAAACTGTAAAGGCCGTAAGTAATCTGAAACGAGAAAAGACAGCAGGACCAGATGGACTGACACCGGGGACATTTAAGGACAGTGGTGGTGGACTATTGGTCAGGTTAACTGAAGTGCCAGGTAGTGCATAGGAGTCAGATATGTTCCTATCTGAGTGGTCCCAATCAGTGACTGTCACAGTCTTCAGGAGAGGGAAAAAATCCTCTGGCGATAGTTACGGGTGGAATCAGTCTGGCAAACATATTGTCTAGGATTCTAGGTTCTATGATTGTCAAACAGCCTTAAGACCTGGTCGTGGGTGCTTAGGTCAGATATTCGATCTCTTCCCGGTCCTAGAGCACAAGTACACTCACCGATGTCCAACACTGGTTGTACTTCTTGAACTGAAGGTGGCATTAGATACTAGACAGTGTCTCTCAATGATGAAAAGGTTCCCAATTAAGTACACTACCCCCACTGAAGGCTCTGCACTCGGACACCCTTCGGTGTGCTACAACCAATGGTAAGAGATGGTGAGTTCTCAGGTAAGTTTTGTACATCGAATGGTTCCCATCAAGGATGTCCACTATCTCCATTCTTATTTAATTTTGTCATAGACGGACATATAGAGGTCACTCTCTCGTCGTCTGATTTCAGAGGAGGGTCTATATTGAACCTAGGGTATGCAAACGAGTCTACTTAGATGAAGATACTGAGAAAATGCAGCGCCTTCTGAATATCTTTATTGGCGAGTTAAAAGCGTTTGGGATACTTTACCGTCACCGAAGTGCGAATTGCTGCTTCAGGAATGCTCTTTCGTGCCTTGTTTAACAATCGAGAGTGAAGTGGTTGAGCGCGTCGACCATTTTAATTACTTAGGATGTTGTATCGACCCTGAAGTGTTAGTGATCGACGAAATCTCTGCACGGATACAAGAGGATCGTCTGACTTTCGCGAACTTATCCTGTCTGTGGCGCCACCGTGACACTTGATTGTCCTTTAAGTGTTGAATGATCTACGCTGCAGTTCACTTTGTTCTAATGTGTGACTATGAAGCATGGACATTAAGGGTGGAGGTTACAGGTGTTCGACCACCGTTACCTTCGTAGTATAGATTATGTGTCTTAGAACCACCAAGTCGATAACGCAGAAGTCAGATAAGGCACCTTAGGGAGAGGAGTAAAATTCAGTCGAGGAGGTGGTGAGCCTTCATTAACTTAGGTTACTGATGTGTTAGGGATGCTGTCGTCATCTGCTTCGTCGCAAAACATTGACTGAAGTGAGTTGATGTCGGAGAAAGTAGGATGTGACAAAACTAAGCACGGCACTAGTCGATAAAGTCTTTGATTGTTGGTATGGGAAGTGTAGGGATGTGTAGATTTCCCGGTGGGGGTCCGCGTGATAACATGAACCAGTGGTTCGAGAACCTTGGTGATACGGCTCAGAATCGATTTCAGTGGCGCAGAAGTATCGACACGTTACCGTTTTTTAATCATTACATTGAATTTCAGTATTCGGCTATTCTTGTTTTCTCTCTCTTGGCAACTTCGTGTCACTTTTGACTGCTATCTTTCTACTTTTTCACCTCTCATCCTAGTACATTTTTCTTTGTGCTGATGTTTGTGATAGCTTGGAACGTGACGCAGTTGTGCCAAGTCCTATGTTGATTGTGTCTGTGTGACGAGAACAACAACACAATTCGGATGGACCACAGCTTAAGTTTTCGATGTAGAAGGAATTATAGCGAATGTCAGTAAAAAATCTCTTGGATAGCTGAACGGAAACGGTAGGTGTGAGTAGTGACAGTTAAGCAATCACATCTCGAGTCTGTACGAACTATAGTACAACAATTCTCCGCATTTCCCCTCGATTTGCCTTGTGTTTAAAAAAATGATCCCATGTTTTGCCTCTCGTCTTCCCGCGAAGTAAAGATTCATGGAGGAAAATGTATCTCAATTTCAACAACTTTTGTCCTATAAGTTATAGTAGAGGGCCAGCGAAAACACTTCGACCGCCCAGGGTATCTTTGTTTGGAAGAGACACCAGAAGAGGAAATGACTATTATTGGAAAATCCCACCGTAATAACGCATGTCCACAAAACTTTATTGACAACCATTAGAAAATGCCAAATGAAAGTGCTGTGTGATATATTTCAGAAGAGGTCCGCCTTCCTAAATCTCGGCTTCAAATGTGATGATGTTTTTACGGGAAAAAATGCTGCCTTAAAGAGGACCTACCCTGCTGCTAGGTTAATTGCACTTCGCCAAGCGGGGTTGTTCACTGAGGTTTACAAGTCTCATTTTCATGCGACTTCCGATTGCATATACCGAATCACAAGTACGTGCCTAAGCAAACACACTGGAAAATAGAAAGGAAGGTGTGTGACTGCATCTCTAACCATATCCAAGGCATTTTTGACTGAGGTGGAAAAGTCTTCAACAGCACCATTGCTTATCACCCTATCGTTAGTTGGTGTGGACTTGTTACACAGAAATCGCTTAAAATAAAATTCGTTACAATTAAAGCCTAGATGTTTATGATACAAAGTTTAATTTGAACTTCTGACTTTTCGTTGAAATAGTAGCCATCAAACGATTGAAACCACATTTATGTACTCAGAAAGAAATGGTGATAAGTCTGTGCCTACTATGGTGAGATTTCCGTTTTGTTGATAGTCATGATGTCGTTGTGTATTATTACCACTTATCATCATTCTGAAGTAAGTGGTGAAGATGTCATGAAGCCTGTTAATGAAACGTAAACTACAAGATATCAGAGCTGAGAGAACACTTAACCACCATCATGTACCGTTGTGTACCTCGTTCATGCAATTCAGTACTGAAGTAGTACAGCATGGATCATAACTTATGTATTAAATATCATCCACATATCTTTCATAAAATGGAACTTTTACAATTAAATCTTCAGATGACTTTTCAACATCAGACACATAAATATCTGCTAAAAGGGAACCCAAAAGGCTTCATACAGGAACAACATCAATCTGCCGAAATGTCACACCTTAAAGTGTAAGATTTACATTATTGGTTGATAAAAGTAATAAATGTCTTAAGACGTAAGTTGTCTGTATTTGTGGTCACGCATACATGGGAAAAATAAAGGCAACATAACACATCCCGAGTCGGCTTCAGCAACAAATCGAATCTCCTGACCCAATTTTTTAGGACACAAACGTCCTAGCTGCTCAACAGCTAAACATCTTATTGAAAAGGGGCACAAAATAGATGTACAAACGTCATTTAAGCCCATCTATAAGAAATATTAGGGATCCGGCTGATAGCTACTACCTTGATGTGGTGGTCGGGCTTGTATATC